CACGACAGAATTGCAAGAAATGTTCAAGCACTGCTCATATTTATACTCAATTTTAGGAGAAACGATTTTCTATTTCTTTTGTAAACTTCTTCAATTGTATGGCGTCAACAGGTAGAGAGTTCCACTCTTTCATGGTGCGCGAAAAAAAAAACTATTCCTGTAAGATTAGGTTTTGGCAAATAGTGGCGTAAGAGAAAAGTTGTGTCTGTGCCTAGTCGACCGTGTTTTTTGGGGTACTAAGAAACGAGGCAACTGCAGGCCAATTTCTCATTTTATGAGGTTATGTAGGAACTGTAGGCGACTAAGTTTACTGCGATGTTCCAGTGAACTTATTTTATTGGTAAGCATTAGAAGTGATAAGGAATGTTCTCTTTTGTATTTTCCGAAAACAAATCTAACAGCCTTCCTTTGCACATGCTCCAAAATCACAATGTCTTTTTTGGTGTGAAGATCCCATGAAACCACCGCATATTCAAAATTTTGAACGCACACTTGCGTTATATGATAAAAGTTATGTATTTGCTGGAGGTTTTCTAAGCTTTTTTTTCAAAAAACAAAATATGCGCAAGGCTTCAGAGTATGTAAGAGGTATATGATTTGGCCAAGTAAGTCTGTTAATAAACGTGACACCTAAGTATTTGTATTGGTAAACTTCCATTATTATGGTGTCGTTAATAACGTAAGAGAATATTCTAGGTATTTTAGTGTTAATCACTGAAAAACTGTTTTTGTACATTATTTATATTCCCTAAAGTCTACACCACTCTGAAATAGCTATGACTGACTGCTGTAAGCTTTGGTGATCATTCTGCGAGGCAACTTCTTTAAATATGGCACAGTCGTCCACAAATAAGTTTACATGCACGGCACTAGGAAGTTTTTCCGAAATAATATTTATGTAGATCATGAATAAGAGTGGTCCCAGTACGCTGTCTTGCAGCATGCCCAGGGTTTCATGGCGCGCAACGGACGAGCAATGTTTGATATCTACGAACTGCTGCCTGTGTCGTAGGTATGCTTGGATACACGATATAATGTTTGAAGGGAGTGCAATGCACTCGAGCTTGTACATTAATTTTGCGTGAGGCACCCTACTGAAGGCGTTACTGAAATCGAAAAATAGCATGTCAACTTGTCCGGACGAGTCAAGTACCTCAGAGATATTATGAACAACTCACACAGGCTGAGTTGTTTTGCGTGAAGTACGAATTGGTATACGTATATCATCGGTCCAAGGTCTGTTGCAGTTAGCGACGCATGTAGCAGGAATGATATAGATTGCAGTAGCCTTTAGCTTGAAACTAGGAGTGTAGCTTGAGACTGGGAATGACTCGAAGGTGAACTGCGTATATATACTAAATTTGTACTCTAGAATTCTGCCAGTTTACGCAGGCTGTGAGGCTCAGCTCTGGAAGCTGTCATAGAGAGTTAGCAATAATGCAAGTAATATTCAACTGCTAGTGTCAATTAAGTAAGCGAATCTAGAGCTGCTTACTTTAACTGATCATTCGGAAGATGCAAGTGAAACTGTGCCGGTTGGAAGAGAAGGATAAAAAGAAAAAAAAAACTCCAAGGACAGGAAGGTTAGCCAGTTGATGACTCACACGAAGCCGCGACCTGTTTTCACCAGTATTGTTTACTCAGAGGAATGAATAACAAATGAGTAGAGATTTGAATGAACCATTAAAAAGTGCATCCCTAAATACCATGTTAAAGGTATAAAAAAGAAGTTAAATGACATTTCGTGCCAAAACCACGATGCAATTATGAGGCAGTTCCTAGAGGGCGACTCCAGATTGATTTTGATCCCCTGGGGCTCTTTAAGATGCGCAAGGGCTTTTGCATTTCACCTGCATTGCATTTTGGCCGCCGGGTATAAAACTTGCGTGCCTATATATAGAGATGTAGCGCCATAACCGATGGGTGCGTTCAAAAGATCGCACGCTGTGAAGGCTCATGGGCAGAAACACCAGCCGAAGGCAATAGCAACTGGCAAATATGGCAAGCCAATGACTTACAGTTATTATTTATTTTCAATAAAAAACCTTCTAATAAAACTATAAAAAACTTTTGTGACTATGGAGCCACGGACCAGATTCGCAGATATTCGATTTCGTAGAAACTGCTTGCGATCGGTGAGGTACTGTACATACGAAAATCGTTTTTGTAGAACAAGCTGGAAATAAGGAGCAAAGAAAACTTGCGCGGTGAGTGTGGTGGTGCCTTATTGTTGCATCATACTCCGGCGTATCATGTATGCTATACACAACCGCACGGCAGCATAGTGATTTGAATCTGGAGTGCCGATATATTAGTGATGTCATAGTGGTCTTGCAGTTTACTCGACAGCAAATATCTACCACACCTGAGGAGGAGCATGAGGATACGGAGCTAAAGCAAAGGAAATGTGAATGTGTTTTTTTACCTGTATGAAGTCTTTTACTTCATAAATATTCAGACTAATAGCCGTGTGTGAAAAGCTTTATAAGATGCTAAATAGTACAAATAATGCCCTCTCAAGTAATGTCTAAATAGAGAAAATATTATAGACAAATCGGCCAGTGTAATGGTTCGTAAAAGCTTTTTGTATTATTTGGTGGTGTTTCCAATGTTACGCTTACTTTCATGACTGACTGCAGCGTCTATTCTACGAGCCATGTGCCCTTATATTTATTAATGTAAATGAAATACAATATAAATTCGCAAAGCTTTTTGTTGGCTAAGAACTGCTCGTCATCCCGTTAGTTATACGAATTTTTCTGTATCCACTGTCTGTTAGGACATTCTTTTTAGAATAATAATTTTGTGGATATAGGGTTTCATGTTCCCCTGAAGTGAACGGAAAGTTTTGAAAAATCTGTACGAATAAAGTGCTCGTCATTGGCTGTCACTTCGATGTCTTAGACTATTTGTAAAACGCTTGAACCAGCGATCAGCGTTGTGAATCTGGGTTTGTCTGTTTTAACTCGTCCACAGCTTATAAGACATGTCTGCTTGAAGCCACAACTTTTTGAGTATACAGCTGGAGGAGCCGTATACTCAAAAGGTGCGCTTATCTGTGTGTTTATCTCGTGCAACACAGTTTTTATATCGCGACACTTTTTGGGACGAGTCCATCTAGCCCTAGTACAAAGTGAATTAAGGAACACTTCAATCACCATTGCCGGACATATCTTGGGTACTTACAGTTTCACGTTGCACTTTTGCAATTGTGACATAATAATACAAATACGGGGAGTCATCTTTATTCTTTAGACTCTTTTACGGATGGGTTTCGGTGCCGCCATACTGGGCTGTAGCCTTGCAGTTAATGACTAAACGAGCCGTGCTACGAAGAACGCATGCTCATTAAAATGGCTGGGGCAGTGCATTCGACGCTTCATGATTTAATCAGTTCACATCACGAGATACGAAAATCGAGAAACATGTTTAACAGCCCAAAATGGCGGTGCCCACATGTCTTATTTAAAATCATCTCTTATCAACGTCAGCATGATTACGCAAAGGCCTCTCTCATGTTTCGCCATTCTACCCGGCCCTGGGCTTTGTGCAGTGCCGTTATACCTGCAAAATTCTTAATCTCATCGGCCCACCTAATTTTCTATCTCCCCCTCTTTCTCTCTTTCTTTCTGTCTCCCTTGGAATTCAGTCAGTTACCCTTAAGAACCAGCGGCTGTCCTGCCTACGTGCTAATCACCCTGCCCATGTCGGTTTGTTCTTCTTGACCCCCGTTCGTTCCCTGACCCACTATGATATCTTCCTACCTTTAAGGTTACATCATTTATTTTTGTTGATGAAGCAATGGCGTAGAACTATAGCCATCAGCCTCGCATGCAAAAGGTGCGTGGTTCGAATACCGGTGCCGGAAATTTCCCAACCAAATTTAAGAAAAAAAATCCGCATGATGACGGAATTGCAAAAAAAAAAAGATGGGGTGTGACCTTACTGGTGACTACAGCCAGTAGTGCTCTCCCTCACCATAGCCGAATTGACCACCCGGGTGCAGTACTTGGCCACTACCTCCCACATGACTACACCCCCCCCCCCCAAAAAAAAAAAAAAAAAAACCTCTTCTATACACACGATCCTTTATTGTAGATTTAGGTACAAAAATTGTCGCCTGATTATGACGGGTGCCGTGGTTGAAGAAGCCAGAATATTTTCGTCCACCTCTAGTTATCTAACGAGTGCCCAAATATGAGCGTTTCTCCTTCACGGAAATTCAGCCATCGGGATCGAACCCGCAACCCCGAGAGCAAAAGCACATTTTCACTGCCACTGCGCAGCCACGGCAAGCGATTCTAGACGTTTGCAGTCTTCAGTACTATCACTGCAGCAGAATAAGTTTTCGCAACCTGAAATGCCCTACGTGCTAGGAATAGATATGAGTAGAATGTGGGGGCTTGAGTTACCCAGAACCACGTTCTTCTTATATCTCGCCCTACTGACAACTTTAGGGGCGACAACTGTCTTAATGAGTATGTCTGACTTCAATATCTTACATGAAAGGGGGGTGAGGAGAGGGGTAGGGAGGGCCTTGTTGCGCCCGTTTCATAATATTAAGGCTGAATGCTGCAGTGTATAAGGATTAACAGGCTTAGTCAGTATTGCTTTAAATTGTGTTATTTCACTCTAACACTGAGGTGGCCTTTTGAATGAAGTTCCGATCGCAGCATCTTGCATAAACTGCGCTATTCTTTGCCCGAAGGTTTCCTTTCAATGCTGCACTGACGATGCCGTGTTGGGACCTTTCTGAAACCTTATCGAGATTTTAGCTAGCTTTATGCTAATCACTCAGGTGCACAAATTCACCTTTGTCCTTTTTGTTTGTTTGTAATGGTATACTGAAACTTTCTAAAATTTCCAGAGTGGGAAATAAATCCCGCTTACATTCTGCATGTTAAAGCGATGAATATAGTTAGAATACCATAGTTAGCGACGAGGAGACAGCACTGTCATTGCAAAAAGAAGATAAAAGCAACTGCAAAGAAGGACTTAACGTGAAAGTTGAAGTTTCTCTTCACGCTTGGCCTCGGAGTTTTACTAGCGTTGTCGACGTTCGTAGCGGCTCGTCCAGAGCGAGCGAATGCGCCCGCTGTCTCTCACGGCCGAACAGCTGAGCCCATGGGTCAGGCTGCCCAGATAGGTGTGCAGAAAGCTTGTGAAGGGAAGCACACCGCGTCGATTGACACTGAGTCGTGCAAAGCGGTTGTATATGAGGCGATAGAGAGTGCAGCGATTAATGCGGGAGGAGAATAGCACCGCGGGCCTTTTTGGGAGCTTTAGACACGCGAGACGCCAATGAACGGGCATCAGAGGCGTGGCCCCGAACCTTCTGCGTTCCAATGGGGAGAGTCGAATGCGGACAGCGGTGACATCGGAGGAGGATCTGCCCTTTGTTTGGGCTTGCCCACCCCACAAAGCGCCCCCCCCCCCCCCCCCTGTTCCTCTACTGGCACAGAGGCCAAGCGGTGCAGGCGTAAACGACTAACAATAAAAGAATAAAAGCAAATGTGGTAAGAAACTGGCAATGGAATGAAAGGATTATAGCTGGCGTACGCGGTTCATAAACCCGTACATGAATGACCCCATCTGATTCTAGGCGGCCCTCTCCCCGTTTTCCTCCAATTCTTCCCGCACCTTATGAATGCGCCCGCAGCGCCCAATATGAACCGCCTCGTCGTAGTCTCCCATATGAGGCCCGGTTGAATTCCTTTGTCATCCTACGCTGTAAGGGCACGTTGGAGCGAAGTGAAAGAGGAAAAAAAAAAAGAGAAAGATAAATGCGACGATATTGGAGCAGGCAAAGGAGAAGCGGCCATCATAAACTTTGCGTCGGTGCTTTGGAGGCCTGAAATGATCGCCGGGCTTGTTTCTTTGAGTATAAACGCAAATTGAGCTCATATCCGTTTGAGAAACTGGTGTGTTTGGCAATGTAATAGCGTGAACTGGTGGCGGTAATTTGTTGAAGAAATGTCGTCGGTGTTCACGGGAATTCGCCATATATATATATATATATATATATATATATATATATATATATATATATATATATATATATATATATATATATATATATATATTATCGCCGCCGGTTCACGCAATTACATTGCCAAAAACGCCAGTCTCTCAAGCTAAAGTGGCGTTTATACTCAAAGAAATAAACCTACTAGGAGATTTCCAAATCATGCGTGTTTGCTACAGTGTATATATATATATATATATATATATATATATATATATATATATATATATATATAGCAAGCTTCCGTACAGCTTAATAATAAACCGCATAGTAGCAGTTGCGTTTCTTTTTTTTTTTTTGAAGTGCACTTATTGCAGTGTTACTAAAATAGGTGATAAGAACGAGAACGTTTCACAGTTTGCAGAATGGACTGTATTACAGATATATATAAAGCTGCGTATTTAGGCATTTTTCTGATAAATTAGAGCAAAAAAAAAGTCAGAGATAGTGAGAGAGAGAGAGGGAGATTGTGTTTCTCGAATTGCTTTTTTTTTATCACAGTGATTGCCCGTTTCTTTGTACTTTAAATAAATAGCCCGTTGCTTTATTAGGTTTACTTTGTATTATAAAATAAACATGTGTCAGTGTAGAGACGGAATCTGTTTGCGTTTTCTTTTTCTTTGTTTTATTTGTTCTCTGTGTCCTCGGTATGTTTTTTGGATACTCCGCATACTTGTACGGTTGCTTTCTTTATTGGCTATATATAGTTTCCGTACAGCGCTGGCATATATTTGTTTATTTTGCTGCACTGTGCTCGACGTCAAGCACATTAATCAATCTATACGGTTCTGTTGACTCTTTGGGTGCTACAGACTGGTTCATTCCCGTCCCGTAGCATATTCAGCCACTCTGCTGATCGCATAACTTCAGGATTCCCTTGTTGTGAGGCACATAATTGCACACTCGCTCACATGCTCTGGCAGTGCCCGGCGTTACATGGCGCAAAGTTCAGCACAGAACAAGACTGGGAGAGGGCTCTTGAAAGCTCCGAGCTCTCAGTCCAATACTCGGCAGTCCAGGAGGCCTGCGAACAGGTGGAGGGCCACGGTCTTCCAGTCCCGGTGTGGACACGGCCAGCAACTGTGGCGGACCCCGCTTAGGGGGGTGTCGGACCAGTTCTCCAGGACCAAATAAAGTTCATTTCACTTCACTATGCGCGGCCTCGCTTTTTCGTACTTTATAGTTTGGTATTACTAGACCATGTAAGTGACCTTCTTGCTATAAACTCACATAAGATTGACAGTGTAAATAAATGAATAAATAAATAAATAAATAATACAAAGCATTTATGTAGTTGAAAACACATATTTGTTGCAGTGAGAATATTTATTAAGGCTATGCGTGCTAATAATGTAGGATCATTGTGAGACCTGCAATAAGGTCGAGAAACAGCAGTTTGCTAAAAAGACAAAATAAAATGAGGTAAAGGCAGAAAGGTCTACCGGAATCGTATCATTTGTTTGACCACGCTCCACTAAGAGGAGGGGAAAAGGGGAAGATGAGGAGGAAAGTGAAGAGAAAATTACACACGTGAAGAAAAAAAATGAACAAGTGTGGGGGTGCTATATCATATATAAGAGGCCACTAACAAGCAAAAAGTCAATTAGGCCTTGAATGATTTTATGTGACAAGGCAGTTCATGTGTCGGTATTCGAGCACTGACTGTTCTGACATGGGTCTGTCGTCAAGGCGCGCTAGGCAGTTAGCGGCAGTCTGTGCGCGCTCTAGCGAAGGCAGCGAGAAACAACGCGGTCTATCGTTCCATCGCTGCCTCTGTGGTCGCAAGCAGCACTGTCTTCTATGACGATTCGGAAGGCGAAAGATTTGGTGAAAGTGACACCAAGCCACGGCCGGCAAAGCACCGTTGTCTCGAGAGAGCACGGACAGTGACCGAAGTCGACGAGACGGGTGCAGTGTGTGCAGTCGTGTGTGCTATAAACTTGGTGTGTGCCATACGAATTGGACGTCCTGGTTTGCAATCTCTCACATTTTCATGGCAGCATCTGTCCTTGAGAAGGGGATGGATTCTGGTACATCGTCTTTGTGTACAGATCGAAGAGCTACGTTGGCATGTTCGTCGCCCAATATGCCTAGAAAGAAACGCAATTGTCAGGGCTTGCGGTAAATCTACTAATTATGTGGGATATTCACGCTATAATTTATAGAAAACATAAGCTGTCCATTTAGTTATTACTGAATATTAAAGTTCTGGAGAAGACCTTACCGCTTGACTTACGCCTATGATCAAACACTCGCCCGAAAGCACTTGTGTGCCTTAATGGAATCCTTGGGTTAAACTTAAAGAAAAGAAGCGGGAACTTGAGGTTAATATTAATAATATTTTTGATGTAAATGTGAAGAAAAGAAAGGTGGACGAGAAGATAACTTCCCACCGGCAGGGATAAAAGCTGCGACCATCGATCAGCACGATGCTCACTGAGCTACAGCGGTGGTCACCCACAAACCGTCCACTCTTTTTCTTTATCTCCTGCTTTCTCACAATTCACTTTATGGGGTATGTATGTGCATTTAAACGTAGAAGGTGGCGTGTTTGGTCACTGCCAGCGGCAAGCTATCTGTTTGTTTGTTTCCCTAGATAAATGGCACGTATTCACTTTGGAGGTTTGGGCAAGAATGCAACGTTGAGATTGTTAAATATTATTTTAGGTAAGCTGCTTAACAAAAAACCAAAAATAAGGAAAGGAAATGGCAATAATACCTGAAATATTTCATTTAACTACGAGTAATATGCTTTTGAGCTTGTATTTCAGAGTGCCATAATTACCTGATGGGAATAATTTTGAAAACTTTGGTTTTACCCTGATGAAATGACGAAAAATTTTAAATACCACATTTATGTGGTACTCGTTGAGTAGTTTCAATGCGCCCCGCCGCGGTGGTCTAGTGGCTAAGGTACTCGGCTGCTAACCCGCAGGTCGCGGGTTCGAATTTCGGCGGCGGCGGCTGCATTTCCGATGGAGGTGGAAATGTTGTAGGCCCGTGTGCTCAGATTTGGGTGCACGTTAAAGAACCCCAGGTGGTCGAAATTTCCGGAGCCCTCCACTACGGCGTCTCTCATAATCATATGGTGGTTTTGGGACGTTAAACCCCACATATCAATTGAGTAGTTTTAACGAAATTATACACGGCATCAACCGCATTCATGTTACAGAATTCTCAGCCTGAGGCACTGAAACTTAAAACATTTTCCTCCGATAAGGTCAAGCCTATTTTTGCAAAAGGAATAATTAGAAGTCTAGTTCTAATACGAGAACATCTTGAACATGGCAAAAAGTAATGTGCAATATTTTTTCGACCACTCTTCTTTTTTAACAGTCACATTACAGTTTTTTTATTCATACTGACTGTAAACCTTAACAGGCTCATACAGGAGCGGGTCCAAAAGGATACAGAATGGTTACTACATATGTAAACATCTACCAAAGAACAATATGCTTAAGCATAATATTATTAACAAAAGGTAGTAAAAATCAAAACAAAAAAAGGATAACTACACAGACGACTGGATGGGACTACATATTAAAAAAACAAAAAAAACACAGCAAAGACTAACAGAGCAAAGCACACATTTGACCACTCTACGAATGAAAACTGCGCATGTCATAGACTTAAAGAAGTATATTCCGAAAAACAGTTTCGCTGTTATGTACGGCGTCGCTACTTACTGGTCAAAATATATCTCAAGGTCTCCAGTGAATGAGTGAGCAGATTTTGAGGACACTAAACCACGTGGGAGGCTATTTCATAGTTCAATGACCGATTGAAAGTAGGAATACCTAAATGTATTGCGACGGGGAATAAAAGGTCTGATACTCTTGTCGTGGTTTGTTCTTGCTGAGCGCTGATATGGTGGTTGTAAGTACTCGTGCTTGTTTATATTGATGCCGTTGTGATAAAGTTGATAGAGAAATTTTAAAGCAGCAATGCGACGCCGGATTGCCAAAGTTTGAATGTCTGCCCTATTGCGTAGCGTGGATATGCTAACACTGAATACTGTAGTGTGAATACTGGGAATGCACAAACTGAAGCGCTTTATTTTAAATTCCCTCCAGTTGGTTGAAAAAATAAATTTGATTGATTGATATGTGGGGTTTAACGTCCCAAAACCACCATATGATTATGAGAGACGCCGTAGTGGAGGGCTCCGGAAATTTCGACCACCTGGGGTTCTTTAACGTGCGCCCAAATCTGAGCACACG